TTAAACAAAAAAAAATCACAAAAGAGAAAAGGCAAAACCTCAAATCATTCAACATATACATTACGTAATTCTCAAAAATAAATTCAATCAAAAGTGAAATACAATCTAAAAACACATAACAAACAAAATTGAAAATATACATACCTACAAGCCAGATCTAAAATCAATCATCCATCAAATCATTTTTCTAATTTGGAAATTGAAATCATTTAACATATTCTTAAAACAAATTCAATCAAAACTCAAAAGCAATATAAAAACATATAATAAACAAAATTGAAATCATACATACCTATAAATCAGATCGAAAACCAATCTAGCAAATCACTTTTTCAATTTGTAAATCGAAATCCCAGCTAACAAATTTGAAGTAATTGCAATTGAAAAGGCACAAATCCAAATCTGTAAAACGCGGAAATATTATCTTCTAGAATAGTCGAATCAAACTAAATCGAGAAATCTTTCAAAATCGTATCTTCATCTATCCTTCACAAACCTTCCATAACTGGTATTACGTATCCATATGACATTATTAGGGGCAGAAGGGCCAAAACATTATTATATCTCAAAATAGAACTTATTAGTTCAAAAAATCTTAAACAGAATCTAAGCTACCTCACTATTTGTGAATATAAACTTTTAGATAATTAACCCTAAATAGTATAATATTTGTGATTTTTTTTAAAAAAAGTTCACCAAATACAAAAAAAAGAAAGAAAAGAATTCAGTACATTTTTTATTTTGTTGTGTTCAATAAATTTTTTAAATATTTTTGTACGAATTTTATACTTTTAATTATATCAAGATTAAATAGATTTCAAAAATATAAAGATTTTGATTAAAGTATTTAAAAAACCACTAAAAATACAAAAATACAAATTAAAAACTTAGAAAATTATTTTTAAAAAGTCCATATTTAGGATTTTTTTTTTAGTTTTTAATAACAAGATGTATTAAAAGTAGTGGAAATAGAAAGAATTTTTTTAATATTTGCTAGTTTTTTAATTTTTTTTGGATAACTTTTAAATTGTAAATCTTTTTGTTGAGTTACCAAACAACCGCTAAGAGAAATGGTGGCCATTATATTGAAAAATGTTAGAGATCTTAAAAAATTTATCAAAATTTCTACCAAATATCTCACATGAATGTGAGACTCACATTATATAAATCGCATGTGGGTCTTATATTTATGTAAGACATTTAACAAAAATTTTAATATATCTTTTAAAATCTCTAACATTACTCACAATACATTACATGCAAATAGACATTTGGTGGTCATGCCAGATGTTTTTAATACATACGAGTGGCAATTTACTTTATTTTTATATTTACATTTACATTTTAACCTCAAAAGTTATAATGATTACATTATTAGTTTACAAAATTATATTTTGATCCCAATTGTAAAATCACATATTAAAATAAATTTTATATATATCTATATATATTTCATTTATAATCAAATAATATTGATATGAAATTAAATAATAATTAAAATTTTGAGATGTTACAATATAATTGGTTAAGTTAGAAATGATATTTAAATTTTAGATTAAAAAAAAAAGGTTCTAGAAATAGGATTTAGTGTTAAATAATTGATTAAGTTAGAGATTATATTTAAAATAACAATTAGTTAGGTTTTAGGTTAAGGTTAAATAATTAGTTAAGTTGGATGGAACGTTAAAAATAGAAGAGAGAGAAAATATGAAGAAAAATAATAAAATCATAAGGGTATTGAGGTAACTGGCCCTGTTTGTTTTGGAGTGTAATAGATGGGAGGAGATTAGGATGGAGGTAGAGTTATTTAGTATTGTGTTTGTTTGTAGAGTTGGGAAAGGGATTAGAATGGAGGAGGAGATTAAGATGGAGGTTGGAAAGAGGATTAGGATGAAGGAGGTGGAGATGGTATTAGAAAAATAGTGAGGGGATTATAAATTTTTTTATTTTTTACATATTCGGAATTTTTTTTTAAACATTAATGTTTAATTTTTTATATTTTTTTATTTGTTTTATTATTTTATATAAAAATAATTTAACAATTCTTACACTAAAAATAAATACAATTTTACTTAATCCTCTCACTATCAATCCCCTCATTTTTAAATCCCTCCATATGTGTAGGTAATGAAATTAACTGTTGCAATTTATTAGTTTAAAGTTTTATAATTATTTTTGAATTATAGGAGGATAAAGTGTTATTGGCTTAAATTATAAGGGTCAAATGAATTTTGCCAATTTTCTTCTTCGAAACATTTTTTTCTGTGTTTATTATTTTAATTTTTTTTATAATTACAAAAATTAAAATTATTTACAAGTTTTTAAAACCAAAATATTTTTTTTATAATTTTTAAATATTTTTAAATATAATTAGAAAATTTTAAATATAAAGACTTTTTTGAGAAGCTAAGAGCATCTCCAATGGTTCACTTTTTTTTTTCATCAAATTTGAGTAAAAAAATGACGATTTTCTCAATTTGATATGAGCTCTTCCAACGGTTTGCATCAAAAGCCAGGGATGTCCGGTAGGACGACCAACCGGTCGACCGGCCAAGCGCTGAATACCTACATCAACCAACGCAAGAGCTAACGTACTGACTCTCTCTCTCTCTCTTTCTCTATATATATATATATATATATGTATCTTTGTTCTTATTCAGTTCGCTTTCCGATCCGAACAAATCTAAGCGTACCGAAGCAATCCTCTCGTCTTCTCAAGCAAACCCATTTCGATTTTCTTCACAATTCTTCAATTCCTTTGCTCTATTCACCATTGAAAACTGAGATTTCTTGTGGGTCATCCTCATTTCGTATATATCAAAGCAACAACGCTTCTTCAACAACAAGGCCTATGCTGTGTAGTTTGAGATCGGAACATACAATGGCTAGCCAATCCCAGAAGCCCCAATCTGTCCATGAGCTCACCGTCAAGGTTTCTTAACCCCTTCAATCCTAACCTTTGCTTCTTTTCTTTTTTTTTTTGCCCCCTCTCTCTCTGGTTTCTTCTTCTTCTTTGGTTCTCTCTATAATTCCTTTGATCAATTATCAAACAACACTCAGTTTGATCAATGTTGACCCGAGAAGAAAAAACTGAGTGTTGATCACCATCATGGCACACCAACAATGGTGAAAAATCATCAATGGTGTTGGTTTATTCTTTTTTGGTCCAATGGTGTGCCATTTTCCTGGGAAAAGTGAAGGGTAGAAAGGACATGTGTGAAGGTGTTGTTTGATTTCTTTGTGTTCAGAAATGGAGCCAAGTTTGAGACAATGAAAAGCTGCACTGAAGCACTGTTATGTAATATTTTTGTATGTAGGGACAACCAGTGGGATGTCCTTTGGGACAACTGGTTGGACGTTCGGCCAGTTGACCGGTGGGATCACTTCCAACGTAAACACATAGTGAAATGGTGAAATCTCACGTTGTCCTCAGTTTGATGAAATTTTTGATTCGTTCTCAGTTTGATATCAGTTTTGTGAAACCGTTGAAGATAGAAAATGTGACTTTTTTCATCAAATTCAAATATGATGCCACATCTGGTGCAACGTTGGAGATGGTCTAACAAAATAGCTTAAAAGCCTAAAAAATTTGAAACGTTTTATATGAAAAAGTCAAAGATTTCATTTGGCTAAATAACACCCAGTGGTGCCCCAAAAAAAATAAATTACAAAATCATGAAAAAGTTTTTACATTTAATAATTAAAATGCTATACTTTTTCATTGGTTTGTAAAAAAAAATTCTCTTCTCCACGAACAACTATTTCCCCTATCTCATTTTCTCTTTACTTTTTGTATTTTTTTTTGTGTGTTAAAAGTCAAAAAGTCATTCAAAATATACTATTTCCCCCCCTCCCCTCTCGCTCTCTTTAAATTTGGTGAAAGTCCATCATAAAGAGTGCACAATGCATTGCATCCAAGAAAGATCTTATTTGGTGATAAGGACATGTTAGAAAAATTTGGAAAATTGGCTGAAAAAGTCGTCGACTGTAGCAGGTGGTGGTGTTAAGCTAAAGACTATTCACAATATTAGGGTGGGAAAATTGGGCTGAGGACACAAAGGGCAAAAACATGCCCAACTTATGTTGTTTAAGAAAAAAAAAAAAAAAAAAAGAAAAAAAATTTGTTAGTGACTAACCAATTGGTAGTCAAAAAGAAAATATATATTTTTAGTGACTAAATATTTGGTAGCCATAAAGAACCCAAAGATTTTTTGTGACTAAAAATTTAGTAGCTAAAAATATCATGAAGACTTTCGGCTACCAAATGGTTAGTAGCCAGTTCATGTCAGTGAAGTATAAGATCTTAAATTTAATATTTTATATAATATTTTAATATAATTTTTTTGTAAAAAGTCAAAAATTTATCCCAAACAACAATTTTTTTCTCTACTTTTTTAGCAAAAAAAATTAAAAAGTGCACTTATTATATAGTTCATCTCAAACAATCCTTACATAGTCAAAAAGCTAAAAAGTTAAAAAGTCAACTCACATCCCAAACGAACCCTAAGAAGTATTTTTAGAGTGTTATATTGAAATGTTATGTTTGGAAAAAGTACACTAAGAAATTTTTGTGTGTGTTAGAGTAAGGGATTTTTATGTGTGTGTTATGTTAATGAGTTTTTTTGGAGTATTATATTAGAGTGTTATATTTAGAAAAAATACACTAAGAAGTTATTTTTGTGTGTTACATTAAAATATTTTTTTGTATTACATTAAACTGTTACACTAAGAATTTTTTTTTTTTAAAAAAACATAATAGAATAAAGGTATAATCGTAAATTTAATTTTTAAATAATATATTAAATCTATTTTTTTCAAAATTGATAAGACTAATTATCTATAAAAAAAAAAAATTCTTAAAATTAAATGAATCATCAAGAGTTATAGATATTATTTTAATTAAACAAAAATAACTAAAAAAAATCAAATAACTAATTAAAATATCTAACTTCTCAACACAATATACACAGATAATATGAAACATATGAAAGAATCCCATACCTACTACCCAGATTTACCGGGTTTATTTCCACACGTCTCTCTCTGCGCTCCCTCCAGGCCTTCATTTGCGTATTCAAATTCACACTCTCTCTCGCACCGACCTCTCTAGCAGGAATCAGAGACCTTTCTCTCAAAAACACTATTCGATCAAAATTGTGAGAGAGAGAGAGAGGAGATGAATTCGAAAAAGAAGGCGGCGATGACATCGAAGACGATGATGGTGCTAAGCTGCTCGATCTGTCAAGCCAACTACGACGACGAACAGAGACCCCCACTCACCCTTCAATGCGGTCACTCTTTCTGCAAAGAATGTCTCGCTCGCATCTTCTCAGCTTCACCCTCCACCTCCCTCTCTTGCCCCGAGTGCCGCCGCGTCTCCGCCGTCGGCAACTCCGTCTCCGCCCTCCCCAAAAACTTCTCTGTTCTCGCCCTCCTCCAATCCAACTCCTCTACTCAATTCAGCGACACCGACGATGAAATCGATGACGATGATGATGATGACGGTGGTAAAATTGCTTCCCTCCGCAGCCTCCACGGCGGTTGTGGCGGCCGCGGTCGTGGTGGATATCGAATTGATGTTGCGAGGCATCGGGATTTGAGACTTATTCATAAATTCAGCGAGGGGAGGAGGGTGGGAGTGGAGGTGTGGAAGGGTTTGTTGAGTGGCGGTGGGGGCTGCGGCTGCGGGCACCAGGTGGCGGTGAAGAGAGTGAAAATTGGGGATGGGACCGATGTGGATTGGGTACTGGGAGAGCTCGACAAGTTGCGGCAAGCGTCCATGTGGTGTAGAAATGTGTGCAATTTTCATGGTGTGATGGTAATGGATGGTCATGTGTGTCTTGTTATGGATAAGTGTTATGGTTCTGTTCAGTTAGAGATGCAGAGAAATGAAGGGCGACTCACTCTGGAGCAAATTCTCAGGTTTTTTTTCTCTTATATTTATACATATATACATATATTTTGGTGATTTTTTAGCCTTGAATTATGAGCTTTGTTTATTTTGAGTTGAGATTCAAATCTTTGATTTTATGTGTGCAATTTGTATAAAGAACAAGATTGACCTTTATTATTTTCATTTTTTATAATTGGGTATAGTGTTCTAGTCAGGGTCCTTTGGGCTCATCTTGCAAGCGCAAACCGAGAATCAAATGACACCCTTAATTGCATTGCATGAGGCAAACTGGAGGGGCCGACAAGAGTCGAAGCCGAACAAGATCGATCTTTTAACTGTTCTATTATTTGTTCAAACAAATTTCTTTCATTAAAAGAAAATAAAATAGTGTACCCCAATTCGGCATCGCTTTATGTTGCATGCTTGGCCTGTGTTTCAGAGGAGTGATTTGGAAAATGAAAGAAAAATAGAATAGAAAAGTGAACAAAGTTTAACTTATATTTCATTCACTTTTCCCTTATTATTTCACAGATCCCTTCTTAATCCTTGATCCAAACACACCCTCATAGTGTTTGGAGTGTGGTTATTGCAGGACCTGTGTAAATGCAATCATCATAGTGAAATTTGGGGTGGAAATAATGCTGCCAAAGAAAATAAGGAATTGAGTGCCTTGTTTGTTTCAATGTAATATATTTTAGAAGAAAAATGTTTTCTCATGACATTTTCCTTTTTTTTTTTTCTTTTTCTTTTCTACATTTGATTAACCTTTATCACTAATTTACCAACATAATAAAATGCACAATAGCCCCAAGAAAGGCACTTAACTTATCATGCATAAACACAAGAATATAAGTACTTTATAGTGGCATACATACTGGCTACTATATTAACATGTATACGAGTGAGATCGGACATAAACCATACCGTGAATATTTAAGAAAGTCATAATTAATGAATAACTTTTTTAACAAGAATACTAGAAAATCAGTTGGCCACATACTAGGAAGGTCATGCATTCTTCTTCTATAAGGGTTTCTCATAGCCCATTTGGGGTGGGTGTTTCAGTTCTAGAGTACACATGGCCATTGGGTGAAGACAGATTTTGCTGGGGTGGTTGTGTAGAGGGGAGATGTATTACAGACAAAGGGGTTAGCTAAGGAGGGTTCCAATGGTGGTGGGGAGGATGCAGCTGGTGTAGGTTCAGGGGGCTTTGAGGAAGGAAGGGAGGTTAGAGTTAGTGGCGAGAATGTGTAAGGATCAGCATGATTCAAGGCAGGTTGAGGGGGTGGCTACCTTGGGCCAGATGCTTCAGTGGGGGAAGAGCCTTTTGATGGAGTTTTGGGAATGGACTTATGTGGCAAGAATCAAGAATATTCATCTCTTTTATTTTATCAAAAAAAGGAAAGGAAAGAAAAGAAAAGAATATTCATATATTGTTTTCTAAACTCATTTGGCTTGATTACCTTTATCTATGAGCCTTTTGATCATTTTGAGCTTGATCAAACGAGTGTGTCTGAGTGGAAGAATCAATGTAATTTTGTCACAGCACCCGGGGATAAAGTAGTACGGATATGGAGTAGAGGAGGGGGATTTGGACGAGGTTCTTGAGGAGGAGGATTCATTGAAGGTTAGGAGTATGTCCATACAGTGTTCCTACTCAAAAGGGCAGGAAGAGAGGCAGAGGTTGAAGGACATACTGATGTAGTAGAGGGCTAAACTTTGAGTGACTATGCTGGTTCGGAATTTAATTTGAATTTGATGCAAAAAGATTTTCAGTTCTCAAGTAGTGGATAAAATTTATGGTAAAGTAGAATATTTCTCTCTCTTTAATAATGGAGGTGAGTGTTGAAGAAGTAGACTGATTATCAGGTATGAGGTACACTTAGTGTTGTCATTACTAACAAGTTATGATTAGTTGAGGACCTTAAAATATGGAACATGGAAGAATTTAATTAGCAAGCACATTGAAAGGCCAGAGTTCTTGTTAATATTAAGGATTTTGATGCCAAAGAAACACAAAGGAGCTTATAGAGGAGGAGGTGGAGGAGGGGTTATGGTAGGAAAGGGAAAAAGGGGAAGTGGGGCAGATTATGCTGATGGAGGAGATTAGTTGGAGACCAAAGGCAAGGTCTTTGTGGTTCAAGGGGATAGGATAGGAGCACAATTCCGTCATCAAATGGCAAATGCTCGTACGAGGGCTCTTACCAATTGGAAGGTTGATGATTTTTGGGGAGAAGACATCTAGAGAAGAGGACATTGGGGCGGAGGGAGTTCTGTTTATTTTAGAATTTGTACTTGGAGGAGTGTGATAGAAAACCTCATCTTGATGGATTGAATGTTGCTTCTATCTCAGAAGTAGAGAAGGAAGGGTTGGAAAGGCATTTTTTCAGAGGAAATTTTGTCATGTCAGCTCAGCTCAGCTCTGAAGAGTTGTAATGGGGACAAGGCCCTAGGTTCGGATGGGATGTCAATGACATTTGCCCAAGCCGGATTGAGTTTTTTGATGGAGGAAGTCATGACTTATGCATTAATTTCATGAGTGTAGTAGGACATTTGAGGGGGATAAGCCACCTCTTTTATTGCATTATTTCCAAATAAAGGTGGTGCTATGGAGTCCAAAGACTTTTGTTCTACCAAGCACATTAAATATGTTTTTCTTTATCAAAAAATGAATTATTACATTATACATCAACTATATCATTCTCCTCTAGGGGTTTATCATCAGCCCTAATGCCATAACAATCTACAAAGCTGTTGTTGAAGAATCAAATTCAGTGGCATTTAAAATCTGCAAATCATTAAAAGGAAGTTACATACTCTGTACAATTTCAGTGTTTTCTTTTCTTTAAAGAAACATAGAAAATTAAAACTTGAAATTCATGTGGAAGTATTTATGCATGTAAATCTAGTATTTATGTATCTTATTTAAACTATATTTACATATATAACATTTTGTATGGTACAATGCCATCATTTTCTTTACTCTTAACAAAATTTAGATAATGGAAAATAATTTAAAATTGTTATTATACGTAGTTCTGCAGGTGTAGTTTGGACTCTTTTTTTGTGGAGATCCTTTTAGGATTGGGAGGCAGATTCCATTGGAGCTCTTTTGGGGATGCTCTAGGATGTGCACAAGGGGTAGAGAATACTCTAGGTCAGAGAGGAGTCAAGAATTGTTTGTATTTGAATCTTCCTTCTATTGGAGAACGAAGGTCTCTTCTAATGTGCCTTTTTTTTCATTTTTTTTTTCCCTTTCTTTTCCTTTCTTGGACAACTTCTCAAGAGGTGATTTTAACTTCGGACAACTTGAGGAGGAGAAAATTCGTATTAGATTGCGTGCATATGCAAGAGAGTGGAAAAGAGTGTGAATCATCTCTATCTCATTGCCTAATTGCAAAAGGGAAGTGTAGAGTGGATGATGCCTGGTTGGTCAGAGCTCCTTTTGTATAATTTTTATTTTAATATGTATGAATTTTATTACAAAAGGAGCACCAAGGCACAGAATGAAAACCTGTACATTAAACTACTGTAAAATGTGTAGCTAGTTCGGTCAGAGATCTCTTTTCAGCATGGAGAACAGGTTGTCCTAAGGGAAGCTTTGGGAACGCATTGGGGGCTGCTTTTTTTTGTGTTTTGTGATGGAATGATAGAAATAGGAGGCCTTTTGATGGTATAGAGGTTCTATTGTTTGTTTGAAAGGTTCTGTTCTTGTGTCTTTAGTTTTTTGGCTGAGAGAGTCGTTTACACTTTCTTTATTTCATTTTGTTTACTTTTTTGGGGAGTTGTACATCCTCAAGATATGTAGGAGGAGATAGTTTTGCTTTATGTACGTCCTGTGTACAGTGTTTCGCCACCTTTTGTGTCACCACTTCTTTAATAAATGTTTACTTAACAAAAAAGATTACAAAATATAAATGTTACTTTCTCAAAAAAAAAAATTGAAAAAAAAAAAAAAAAAAATGAAATTGGAAAATAAATAACATATTAATATTATACTTGTATCATCTACACGTTAAAGTTCAAAAACATCTACACATCTAACAAGTTTTCACGCTTTATACAATAGATCAAATTTCATATATAAAATATATATGTAATGTGTATAAGGTATACATGATAATACGTGCACGCGCACACACACAAACATAAGAGGCAAAGAACTAAACATGTTTGCTGTATAAACTATACCATCAAAGAGACAATTTTACCTTAAACCCCCCCCCCCCCCCCCCCCCTTCAAAAATAAAAAAAAAATCTTGATAATTGTCGATAAGAATAAAACTGTGTAAGCCCTATCAACTCCGTAACATGCACAGAGGAATACACCGTGACTTTACTCAGATTTGGGTGACTAATATTAACTATATATTTTAAGAATTTTTTTCAAACCAGTATCTTTGATGCCAATAACAACCCGAAGTATTGTGTACTTAAATTCTATTGATTCAACAACCACAGGCATCAATGGAGACAATCATCACACCAGCTGTATATGTAATGCACTTTACTAATTGTTCCTTATTGACAATTAGGGTATTTACCATGGGTATTCAATTAGAAAAGTGCATTACATATTAGGGTATTTGTGGTGCTGTCATGTACCACCTAAAATACAAATCAAGCTATCATCACCTCCCGTGTACTTTTCTCCACCCACCTTACTATTACATACTAGGAAGACAAACGCTAGCTAGAGTTACGTTCTCCTTCTATTATTACATAGTGGAAATAAACAAAATTAATACAAAAATTTTATTTGTATCGATTTATATCCTTGCAAAATTAATATCCTAGTCATTAATAGTAATAACCCTCCACCGAGCCTTCCTTTATCTCAGGGTTCGAAGCTGCTAGAAGATTTTATTTGAGCATTCTACTCGACAAAATCCTAATATTTTAAGAAATAACTAAAACTTAAAATATCCTTACCATTATATGAGATGACAGTGATTGATGATGATGATGTGGTGGTCTCATTTACAAAAGACATGGATGAAGATCGGGAAGATCTCATCTGTCGTCGTAA